CTGCTATCTCTGTTCCTGCAATTCTCACTTCTATCACTTCTGATTTTACTGTCTCTGCTTTTGTTATCAGCTCTCCTCATTTCAAGAAGATGTTGCATAGGCTTAGTGAATCACATTTCTCAGTGCATACACTTCTGCTCTTCTTATCAATCTCTAGAACAATTTATTATATGAAGATAATATATAATACAACTATCTGAAGCTCAGTCACAGACACTGATTATTACATTCATTTTAAATATTTATAATAAGATAATTATTTATTTATATCAGAGAATCATCTCTCTCTTTAACAGTGTCAAGATTGTAAGTCTTTTTCTTTTTCATCTTTTCTTTCTGACATTGATTTTTCTGTTCTTAGAGAAAATTATTATGAGTTTTACTGTGTACAAAGTCATGATATTCACAGATATCAAGAAGCTTTTCACAACTGTAAAGTTTAATATTATAGAAATATTCACTCTGATGAATTTCTTCAGAATAATAGATTTATATCAGTCTATTCTCTGATATCTGTTATCTGACTTTATAATGCAGGTAAAAGATATCCATGTTTTCAGAAACAGAAACATGAATGTCATACTCTTTTACACTCATGAGTGTGAGACTTGTACATCTTGTCTGAGATGTTATTATGAGAATGAGTCATTCTGTAAGAAATCCCGCTCCTCGCGGATTCTTTACACCTATTTCTATCTCTCACGTAATTAATAGGGCTAGCGGCCCTTGGCTACACACAACTATATAGACTGGAGTTCACAAATACTATTCACAACTCAGCTTGAATGCTATTATACATTTAATCTCTACATTTTATCTTTCTATCATGAATACTTCTAGTAGTTAACAGTACATATCACATCAAGCTGCAAACACCTGAATAATCACCTGTGAGTACTTATTCTTACATTTCAAGCTCAGTCAGTCAGCAATCACCTGTTATGACTGAAAGAACTAGAAACTCATATACTTCAATCTCTGCAAACTCTACTGCAGACACTCAGAAGCAATTCTCTGAACTATGAATAATCTTCATAAAAGAAGTCTCAGAGAACTTATTAATTACTTACAGAATATCATTCTCTGTATCTGTGATAGAGGAACTCTCTGAACTCATGAATAAATCAATCTCAGTGAAGAACATTCTTGAGCATCTTCTGCAGAATCAAGCTATTTTTCTATAAGAAATGCTTACTGTCTGTAAACACTCTTGAACTGAGTCTCTAGACATGATCTTCAGAGACACTTATGAACTGAAAAGAAACTTTCTTAAGCTGCAATCACTTAAGGCCACTTATTGAACTATAATCTATAAAAGCTTTTATAAGTTTGTATTTGAAATTGACTTACAAGCTCAGCTGTGTAATATGAAAGATAAAGAAGCTGTCATCTATATAATGACAGATCTCTATTATACTGAAGTCAAGAACTGGCTGAACTATCTAGAGAATAATTATAAGAGATTTCACTGATTCATTCTCAAGACCTATCTAGAGAATAAGTTGAAAGACTTTATAAGCTGAACAGAGAACATCTGAGCTGCAATTATCAATATTAGAAAAAGAGATGAGAAATCTGATAAAGATTACTCACAGCACTTCATAGAATTGTGATATGAATTGAGATCTGTGAAAACAGAGCCCTGAAACAAGATCTGAATAATGATATTTATAAAGAGACTGAATAAAGATATGCAGAACAAGCTCATTGAGCAAGGCTCTAAGTTCTTGACTCTGAAGAAACTGATGACTCTCATTCACTGCTTACAGATCACTGTGAGAGTCACAGATCTGTAGAGAGCAGATCATCAATCAGTCTCACAAGAGCTAGAATAACAGAGAACAGATTTATCAGAAAAAGATGATAAGATATAGAGAGATTCATATCTGACTGCTAAGTAGAGAGAGAGAGCTTTATAAGCTCTTATAAACAGAGTATATAATAGAGAGATTAAGAAAAAGAGACTCTGCTTTATCTGTTCTAAATCAGAACATCTTCACACAAACTGTTCAGACAAATCAAAATAGAAATTTGAGAAGTTACAGACAGAGTCAGCAATAGCCTTCTTAAGAGTCTTGAAGCTGATATCTGAATCTGTTGCTTCTCTGATGAAAATGCTTGCTTGTAAGAAGAGACTGCACCGCGGTGCTGCTATCTCACAAGTATGAAAAGCATTGATGAACTCAGAATCTCAGGTCACTGTGATGTTTCTAAAGCTCACAGAGTGTATAAACTGAAAGATGAAGACTGAGAACCTGCTCTTATAACAAGCAGGACATGAGAACTCAGATCTGAGAGCTGAGAGACTCACAAGAGTCATCTTTGAATTGTAAGATCTCTCTGAAATCTGAAGAAAATTTGCAGAAACTGTGATTATCACAGACATTGCAGATGATATGTACTTAAAACTTATATAACTTCAAAGACACAATTCACACATAGCTGTTCATGAGTCAGGTTTATACTTTCAATCAGTATTGACAGACTCACTCATGAAGATAGAATCAGTTAATGCTGCAGAGTTGATTAGAGAGAGCAAGCTCATCTATATAATGACTTTATAAGTGTCTGAGAATCTCACAGTTATAAAAACTGAGCTTCAGATATTAGAGAAATATCAAGATCTCACAGAGATATTCAGCTCAGTAAAGGCAGCTGAGCTTTCTTCTCACTGTAAGAAGAATCTGATAATAGATTTGATAGAAGAACAGAAACCCTTCTAAGAATTAATCTATAAGCTCTCTCATTACAAGACAGAGATCTTGTGAATCTATATAAAGAAGAATCTGAAGAATGACTTTATTCAATCTTTGCAGGTCTTCACAGAAGCCTCTGTGATATTCATGAAGAAGAAGAATGAAGATCTCAGATTGTGTGTAGATTACTGTGATCTGAACTTCAAGATAATAAAGAGCTGCTATTCTCTGTCTCTGATTAAGAATGTGATTAACTGTCTCACAGAAGCTGTCATATTCATACAACTGAATGTGATTAATATATATACACAGCTGTAAATATAATCTGAGAATGAATGAAAGACTGTCTTTAGAACTGCACTGAAATTATTTGAATATCTAGTGATGTCTTTTAATCTGACTAATACTCTCACAGTATTTCAGTCTTTCATTAATAAAACACTTCACACATATCTGAATATCTTTATGATAATATATCTGAATGATGTGATAATGTACTCTACAAAGAAGAAAGAACACACTGAGCATATGTGAAGTGTGTTGAAGATCTTAGATGAGGCAGAACTGTATGTTAAGCTTATAAAGTGCAACTTCAGTGTCTGTCAAATTAATTTTCTAGAATATGTAATTACTGCAGATGATATTCAGATAAAATCTTCACAGATTGAGACTATTCTATTATGACTGAAGTTAACTAGTATTCATGAGATTCAGATCTTTCTGAGCTTTGTGAATTTCTATAGATAATTTATCTTTGTATTTATGAGAATCTTCTTAACTCTTACAGACATGCTGAAGAATGAAAATAAGAAGAAGTTATTCTGTGAACAGAGAATGAAAAGATTATTGAGAAGAGAGAACTGTAAGAACTTTCTTATCTCAGAAGCTCACAGAGTCTTTGCAAGATTGAAACAGATATTCACAGACACAGTAATACTATTTCACTTTAATTTCTTACTCTTAATCAGATTGAAGATAGATGTCTTCTTCTTTATAATTTCAGAAATAGTCTTATAACTACAGTTAAATGAGAACTGAGTTTCAGTGATCTTTTTCTCACAGAAGATGCAATCTGTGAAGATCAACTATAGCATTTATAATCAGAAGCTTCTCATAATAATGAAATTCTTTTATCACTGATATCACTACTTCAAGAGCCTTATAATAGTGATTACTGTTAGAACTGATCATGACAGCTTATAACAGTTTGCTTCAATCAAGAAACTCTCACAGTAGCAGATTCACTGAGCTCAGAGACTGAGTAAGTTCTGATTCAAGATAGAACATATTAAGAAAACTAAGAACTCAGTGAACAGACTCTCTTACAGATCAGACTATATTAAGAAGATCAGAGCAACAGACACAGAGAAGCTAGAGAAGACAGAAAAGCTTCACAGAATACTTAGACTGAGTATTGCAAAGAGATTGACTGAAGAGTCTCTCAATCCTCTATAAGAGAAGAGAGAAGAGAGAGAGAAGAAGTCTGTACAACTACTCTCTATAATACTGAGAGTCAACACTCTGAAAATCTCTGTAAGAATTCTTGAAGAGAGTATCTATAATCTGAAGAGTTTACAGGCTTTGAGAAGCACTGCAGAAGACCTGATGTAAGAAAAAACAGAGTATAAGTCTTTACAAGGTCTTCTATTCAGATTGTCTGAACTGCAACTGAAGAATGAATATACTTAGTATATTCAGAAACTGCTTATGACAGAGATCAATCCTGCAGAAACAAAGAATTGAAGAGACTTAAATAATCTCTTATAAAGAGAGAGCTGAATTTATGTGTCTATAAATGAGTTTCTATATATAGAACTTATTAAAAGGTATTATAACTCTTCTCTAGCAGATCATTTTACAGATACTAGAACTCATGAGTTGCTTATAAGAAAATACTTCTGACTGAAGATGTGAGAACTTGTGAAGAAGATAGTGAATTCTTGTACTGTTTATCAGAGTTTGTGAGTAGTGCAGTTCAGATTATATAAAGAACTTACTTCTCTACTCATCTCATAGAAATCTTGAGAACAGCTAGAAATGAATACTCTTGTAAGTCTCTCTGAAAGCAAGAATATATATAATGCCTGCTTTAACAGTGTGCTGATGATAGTGAATCACTTCATCAAGATAGCACACTTTATACTCACTCACAAGAACTTGAAGTCAAAGAATTTAGCTCATATCTTTATTCATAATATGATTCAGTTATATGAATTATCTGCAAACATTATCTCAGACAGAGAATCAATCTTTGTAGAAGAGTTCTGATCTGATCTGATAACTATACTGAAGATCTCATAAGATCTAAGCACAGCTTTTCAACAACCGCTCCACCACGAACTCGCTCGATTTTTCGAATAAGAACCCGCCGATAGATCCATCGAAAAGCCCTCGATCATACGAGCATTTTGACCCCATCGCCGACCGCATACCCCGTGTGGTGGTGGAGTTATCCAGCCAAACGTGAACCGGACGTTGTTCGAAGCTCCTGTGTGGGATTATCCCCCGTTCTCCCCTACCACACCACAACCCCGGGCCAGAGTGCCATACAAATTGTAAGGTGAAGTGACCTAGCCATATGCACCAATCTTCTCGATTTTGGAAGACCCCCGACCTGTAGTTGTGGAGATATCCGAGGAGCGACCTCCGCGAAAACCCTGTCCATCTTTGATGTTCCAAAACACCAACGCCAAGTCTCACCCTCGTACCGCCCTTCTCAATCTGGCCCATCCCCGGCAGAAAAATACAAAAAGATACCTCGGCAATAATATCAAGCACATAATCAACAGACTCTTCTGAAGTGCAACCTCCACAGTCCGCCGCCAGTGTATCTAGACTTCAACACCAAGTCTCACCCCTGTACTACCCCTCTCAATCTGGCCCATCCCCAGCAGAATGATACAAAAAGATACCTCAGCAACAGTATTTAATACATAATCAGTGAACAATGAGTCAACAGCTCATCAACAACTATAAAATCAGTATATCTCAAGATCTGACTGAGCCTTTGATCCCTGCACAGTGAGATATATTAAATCTAGTTTTAATATCTCAATATTCAATAGATTCTGCAAGGAATTGAGAACAGCAACACTAGGTTTCTATTGAATTTAAGAATTAACTCTATATTGATATAATCATTGACAAAGTCTTCTATTTTGAGATATAAATAACCAGTTCCTCTACATCCCGCTGGCAATATTTATATTATCATATAGAAACAGACTTATATTCTCTATAATATCAAGACCCTGAAGAGGGAAAGTCTTGATAGAGAGTATACAGTAGTGTATATCTTAGCAGTTTCTATCTCATTCTTCTGCAGCAGTTAATGCAAAAAAAAAAAGATCTTAGAAATAGTTTTTTACTTCTCTTGAAAAAGTAAGGTGTTTTTCTCTGGGTTTTACACAATATTCTTACAAAGAATTAAAAACAGAGTTGTTTTCTGTCATAATTTCATATTCTTTTAAGTAAGAATTACTATTTCAGTGGCTGAAGAGCTTTCATTAATACTTAATTCTTTTTTACACTCTTTATTAACTGATTTGAGTTGCACACTTGTTGTGTGAGAAGAATTGAATGATTTAGAATAAAATTGAATAGTTTTAATCAATTTCTCTGCAAAAAATTGATTTATTTTTTGTCAGTTTTTCTCTCAAAAACTGTCATATTATCTGATTTATTATCAATTGATATCATACTTTTTCTCACTGTATCTTAAGAAAGAGATTGTAAAGATTTTATTGATTTATCTTAAAAATCAATTTTAGTTTATTAGATTCTCTTCAAAAATCTAACCTAGTTACTGAACTAGTGTGAAAAAAATCAGGTGTTTTATACACAAAAGTCTTTTATTCTTCTTTTGAAACAGTCTGACCAACTTTTCAATTGAAAACAGACTTAGAAATATCTCAATTGAAACAGTCTGACCAACTTTTCATTGAGTGAAAACAATGAGTTCAAAAATACACTCAGTTGATATGGAAAAAGATGCTTTCTCAAATGCTATTCCTGAGATTGAAATTCTGAAGAGAAGAAAGAAAGAAGAAATAGAGAAACAACAAGTTCTTGAAATACAGGAACTTGAAAAAGCAAGCAAGATTCTTGAAAAGCAGTATCTGAGTGAGATGAATGAAGAAGTTCTGTTAATTCTTCATGCTCAGGCCAGACAACTACAGGAGATGATCAAGTTCAAACTTGGAATCTCAAACACAGTTCAAAAAACCTTGAAAATTCCTAGTATAATCACTGACTCTTCATCTTACTCTTCTTCTTCCTTTCTTCCTACTTCTTCTTCTTCTTTGAATCAGAAGAAAACATATGCTCAAGCAGCTGAATCTGCTGTCTCTAAATCTGCTATCTCAAAACCTGCTCAAAATCCTGAGAAAACTGAGAAGAATACTGCTCATGCCTCTATTCATAGAAAAGTGAAAAAGAAAATGCAAAAAGAGAAAAACTTCCAAATCTCTAGAAATAGAAGACTCATTCTCAAAGTCTCAAACCAGGACATTCTACAAAGAAACAAGCTAAACTCAAATCTCATTTTCAGAATCAGAAATGAAATTAATCAGCAGTTCTTTTCTCAGTTGATGACTGATATTGAAGTTCAAAAACCAGTTATAGCTTCAATTGAGCCATCATTCTTTGGAAACTCTATTATTCTGACTACAATGCCTGAATTCAGTGCTGAATTCCTTATTCAGAATGAGAATCTCTGAAAGTCAGTAGTAGAATCATTGCTAAACACAATAATTCTATCTGAAAGAGATGAAAAGTGGGACAAATTCATTCTTCATGATATTCCAGTTGAAATTTTTGACTGTGAAGAAGAAATGCTACTTCTCAAAAATGAATTGAAAGAATACAACTCCATTCAACTGAGAAAGGAGCCTGTATGACTAAATTCAATTGAGTTCAGACAAAGCAGAAGAAATGCCTCTGTTCTAGTATATACAAAAACACTTGAACAGTCAAAGATCTCTGAAGTAAGAGTAGCAGGTTTGAAAATGAGAGTTCATGAATACAAAGACTCAAGAATGAATCTCAAAGCTCAAACACAGTGTTCAAACTGTCAAAGATATGAACACTTTACAATCTCATGTTTTAGAGACTCAAAATGTGCATTCTGTGCCAGAGATCACAAAACTAGTGAGCATAAATGTGAAACATGCTCAAAAAGAGGTGAAATTTGTCAATATACTCTGCTTAAGTGCTCTAATTGCAAAGAAAAACATGCATCTAGCTCTAAAGAATGTATGTTTACTCCTAGAACTCAAAAGAACTGGAGAAAAGATGAAGCTCAAAGTCAATCTAGAACTGAAGAGAAGAGTCAAGCCAGTAAACTCACAACTGCAAGCTCAAAAAGAAGAAACTCTCAATTATCTAAGTCTTCAAACTTCAATTCTCCAGCAAAATGTAAACAGAATTTGAATCCTCAAACTTCTGTTAAGATTAGAGAATTGAGAAATGACTCTGATGATAAACTAGATATAATGCAAGCAGTTGAGATTTCTACTTTTCAGAACAGTTATAATCTACTATCTGATGATAGTGATTAGATTCTTCTCTACTCTCTTTTAGTATGAATATATAACAAAAACAACAAAAAAAGTTTAAAAACTCTTCAAAAATCACATTTATTCAAAATAATGTGAATAGAAACTCAAATTGCATTTATTCTTGTCTTCAAATTGCATTTGAATAAAAAGTTGATTTTGTACTACTTCAGGAGCCGAATTTTGATGCTGAGCAAAAATATGTCATTTCTCATTCAAGCTACTACTGCTTTTTACCTCAAAAGTCTGAGATAAAGTCAAGAGTAGTGATCTATGAAAGAAAGAGATCAAGATATCAATTTAATCTAAGATTTGATATCATGTCTGACCCTGATATTCTGATGAGTGATATTATAGATAAAGAAAATGAGTTTGATACTATACAGCTCATAAATATCTATAATGAAAAGTCATTGAAGAAAAATAACAATATCTGGACAATTGATAGAGGATTTCTGAACATAACTTCATCAAGAAACTCTATAATTGCAGAAGATTTCAATACACATCATCCCTGATGAAATTCAGAATGCAAGAGAGCAGTGAGAGCTGATAATCTGGTTGAATGAATCTTTGAGCATTCAATAGATTTGGTTAATAAGTCTGATCAACAAACATTCTTTAGAAAAGGCATGAAACAGAAGTCTATTATAGATCTAACATTCATGTCACAAAATCTAATGAAAAGAAGACTTGTAAACTGGTTTATTGATTCAAATGAGACATCAGAATCAGGTCATGAGATTATTCAATTTGATATTGAACTGAGTGAAAAACAAATGAGTGAAAATCCTCTTCTCTCTAATCAGTATAACTTTGAAAAAGCTGATTGAAAAGCAGTTGAAGAAAGCATAAAACTGTTAAAATCTGAAAGACAGAATGAGCTATATTGAAATTCTGGTCAAGATATCTCAAATGAAATGCTTGAGAATAGAGTAAAGCTTATTACATCTATCATTCTAACAAGTGTTAGAGATAATATTTCAAAAAGAAAATCTTCTGAGTATTCAAAACCTTGATGAAATGAGAATATCTCATCTAAAAGAAAAGAATTAGCTACTGCTAGAAGAGATTGAAAGAATGATGTAATATCTGATGAAGAGTTCAAAACTGTCAGAAATGAATATTTTTCAGATATTAAAAGAGCTAAAACAGACTGCTGGAATAAATTTCTTAAAGAAGCATAAGAAAAGGAAGTTTTTAAAGCTTTTAACTATACTAAAACAAGAAGTGTAGCAAAACTTCCAGCTCTAGAATATGAGTTTCAGAATGAATCATATACAGCAAACTCTTTTGAGGAAAAATGTCAAGCTTTCATAAGAATTCTCTTTCAGAACTCACCAGATTCAGATTCAGATTCAGAGAAAGAGAATATATCACTTCTCAACTACATTGATGAAAATGACTGGGAATGGCCTGATCTTACACAAGATGAATTAGAGTCAGCTATCTTCTCAAGTTCTGTTAAAACTGCTGCAGGTCCTGATTCAATTAATCACTTGATTATTCAAAATACATATTCCTACTTAAAGAATGAATATTTTGAGCTCTTTTTCAATCTCTTGAAAAATGAATATCATCCTGAATGCTGGAGAGAAGCCACTGGAGTGATTCTTGCAAAACCTAATAGAAAAACTTCATTTCCTAAGTCATATAGAGTAATATCTCTATTGAACTGTTTAGAAAAGGTTTTAGAAAAGATAATAGCTACTCAACTATCTTTTATAAGCTCTATAGATGATTCTCTTTTATTCAGTGAACAAATGAGAGATAGAAAACAGTGTTCTGCAATTGACACTGTTCTCTCAGTTGTTCATGATATTCAAATAGCAAAGCATGAGAGTCTGGTCTCAACTGCAGTTTTTATTGATATAAAAGAAGTGTTTAATCATGTTTCAAAGTCAAAGTTAATTCAGACATTGAAGATATTAAAACTGCCACTTTCCCTAATAAAATGAGTTAACTGTTTTATGTCTAAAAGAATTATACAACTCTTCTTTGATGGAATGAAACAAGACAAGACTGAGATAAAAATAGAAGTACCACAGAGATCTCCAATCTCACTCATTTTATTTGCAATATACACTGCATATCTATTCAAAAATAGAAATATGAGAATAGTGCGATCTCTGAGTTATGTGGATGATATTGGTCTAGTCTACAGCTCAAAAACTATCAAAGAGAATTTGAAAGTAATTGAAGAAGCTGCAAAGGAAATCTTTGTTAGAGCAGATATCAATCAAATTCAATTTAATATGGATAAAACTGAGTTAATTCATTTCTTTCCTAGATTCAATGAGAAAGAACTATCTCTAACTCTTTTAAATAGAGAGATTAAACCCAGTGTAAATGTCAAATGGTTAGAAGTATGGTTAAACTCCAAGTTGAATTTTAAATATCACATTCAACAAAGAACTGTCAAGGCAGAAAGACTATTGAACAACATAATCAGACTATCAAATACAGAGAGGGGTCTATCCTTTCAGGCTATGAGACAGTTATATATAGCCTGTATTACATCAGTAGCTGATTATGGAGTTCAAGTTTGATGAAATAATCAAGAGAATTTCACTGAACTCTTTCAAAGTCTGCAAAACAGAGCCTTGAGAAGAATTCTGAGAGCATTTAAATCATCTTCTATTAAAGCAATGGAAATTGAAGCTTCAATTCCTCCTTCTACTATTAGATTTGAAAAGGTCTGTATGAACTATGCTCTGAGAGTTATAAAGATGAGCTCAAATCATATAATCAGAGAAAGAGTCTCTTCTTCATTTTCATTAATTAACTCTAGAAATGAACTGAATTGGAATAGATTTCTTGATTGAAATGAAAATAATTCTTCAAAGAAAATGCCTTCTCAACTGTACAGACTATGCTCTCTGATTAAAAATCAATTTTCTTCTTTAAATGTTGAAAAAGTTGATCATGAGAAGTTATCTCCCTGAAGAAAAAAGCTTGAATCTCTTATAGACTTACAAATAAGTGAACTATCAAAAGAGAAAGAATATGAACAGCATTTAAAGAGAATTTCTACAATCAATATAAAAGACTCTATTCTGATTTATTCAGATGACTCAAAAAATGAGAACTTGAATAGATTGAGCGCAGGCATTGCTTATACTGAAGATAATATTAATTTTATCTCAGATTTCTGGAATCTAGGCTCTGAATGTGAAGTCTTTGATGCTGAACTATTTGCAATAGTGAAAGCTTTCAAACTCATTGAAATAAAATCTCATAAAAGAGGAAATTGTTTGAAAGAGACATGGATATTCTCTGATAGTCAAGCTGCTTTAAAAAGACTTAGAAATAGTCAGATTTATAATGATCAAATGAATCTTGAACTGATCTTAAACTCTGTTTTAAAAATTCAAGAGAGAAGAACATCAAAGCTGAGAATTCATCTGCACTGGGTTCCTGCTCATATGAATATTCATGGCAATGAATTGGCTGATTCAGCTGCAAAAAAGAGTGCAGAATTAAGCAGATCTATTCAAAAAATTGTGTCCTGGTCTTTTATAAAGAGAAAAATAAAAGAATCTTGTTTAGACAAGTGAAATGAAAGCTGGCAGAAACAAAAGAAGAGTATACATTATTCAAGATTTGAAATAAAACCCAAGTGAAAATCTTGTTCAATTAAATGTAAAAAGAAAATATTCTCATCTATAATACAGCTGAAACTAGGACATGGCTATTTCAAATCTTATATACAAAGATTTGATGATAGATTTGACTCAATAGAATGCTCAGTCTGCAATACAAATGAGAATCCTGAGCATATTATAATGCACTGTGCATTATACAATAGTCTCAGAGCCAGATTGAAAGAGAAGTATGATCTAAATCAATTAAATATGAGATTCTTATTCTCAACTGAGACAGGAATTAAATACTTAATAGACTTTCTATCAGAAACTCAAGCAGCTACAAGAAAATGGCTAAATTCAGAATTATCTGAATATGAAGAGGAGGAAATCAATCAGATATAGTCTGTTAAAACAGCTATACACTCTCTTTTAAGAATTTGTTTTGTTATAGTCTCTCTTTACTTTTTCTTTTTCTGTATCTTTTCCTTTCAATTTCTTTCTATCTATCTATTTAATGTGTCTATCTTTGAGACTGTGTTCTTTCTCTCTTTTCTTTTGTCATGATATTGTCAAATG